CCCTCCTCCCGCGGCAGCGCCAGGCGGCCGCTCTGGAGTCCGCGCTATTTATAAAGGGGGGGGCGGGGCTCCGAGAGCATATGCGTCTATGATCCCTTTAAGCCAATGGCGCCGCAGGAGTAGCGGGGGGCGGGGCCTCGGGTTCCCGTTAAGCCAATGGCTGGAGACTTCTGTGGGGAACGTTTTGTTGCTGCCGCCGCAGGTGCCGAGCCTCCCGCTGTAGTTTGCGTGTCCCGCCGCCCGTGGGAGTCGCGGGCCTGCAGAGTGGCGCGGGGGAGCGTGGAGCTGGCTGCGGGCGCTTGGGGTGCCGGGGGCCCGTGAGGGCTCCGAGCCACGTATCCGCAGTGGTGCGTGTGCAGGTGCCGCTGTAGCGGTGTAATTTGTAACTGACGACACGGTGAGATCAGCGTTGACTGTATTGGAACTGAGAAACCTAAATCCCTTCCTGGGCATGGACAGAAGGTACTAAGCAAAGTGACTGAAGTGAAAGAACCTGGCTTTGAGTTAAAGTCTGGAAAGTATGCACTCTTCAGTAGTGACTCCCCACCCTGTGCCAGTTAAACATTTGGGACAAACTCCTTTGAAGTTTTTGGTCCTTGGGGTAACTGTAACAGAGAGGTAGCCAGGTTAGTCTGATCTGTAAAACAAAAAGGCTATGTCTACACTCGTGGCTTCTGGTGCAGGTAATATGCAAATGAGGCTAAGCATGGAATATCGTGGAGCCTCATTTGCATACCTAATGAGCCACCATTTTTTTCAGAGGTGGCCCTTGCGCAAGAAGGAGGGTCTACACTGCCCCTTCTTGCGCAAGAAAAACCCTCTTGCGCAATGCCATTACACCTATTACTTGAGAGGAAGAACAGCATTGCGCAAGAGGGTTTTTCTTGTGTAAGAAGGGGCAGTGTAGACCCTCCTTCTTGCGCAAGAGCCTCTTCTGGAAAAAAGATGGCTCATTAAGTATGCAAATGAGGCTCGGCGATATTCCACACTTAGCCTCATTTGCATATTACTTGCTCAAGAAGCCGCAAGTGTAGACATAGCCTTTAAAATAAAATCTCTGCAAGACCATTCCCGTAGGACTCTGGTTCTCAACTGGTGGTCCATGGTGACTTTTTTGGTGGTCCACAGGAACATTATCCAAAGTCACACGGCGTGGGCAGGCACCAAAAATCTGTTAGTAAGAAATAACTTTCACACCAAAATGTTAGAACATAAGAACATAACATAAGAACACAAGAACGGCCGTACTGGGTCAGACCAAAGGTCCATCTAGCCCAGTATCCTGTCTAACGACAGTGGACAGCACCAGGTACCCCAGAGAGGGTGGACCGAAGACAATGATCAAGCGATTTGTCTCCTGCCATCCCTCTCCAGCCTCTGACAAACAGAGGCCAAGGACACCATTTTATCCCCTGGCTAATAGCCTTTTATGGACCTAACCTCCATGAATTTATCCAGCTTCTCTTTATTATAGTCCTAGCCTTCACAGCCTCCTCTGGCAAGGAGTTCCACAGGTTGACAACACGGTGTGTGAAGAAGAACTTCCTTTTATTAATTTTAAACCTGCTACCCATTAATTTCATTTGGTGTCCTCTAGTTCTTCTATTATGGGAACTAATAAATAACTTTTCTTTATCAGCCTTCTCCACACCACAATGTTATGTTCATTGTCTGCTCTTTTTTATCATGTCTCAAAAAGGAGGTGATCCACGAACATTTTTTGATTGGCCTGGTGGTTCGTGAACTGAAACAAATTGCGAACCACTGCCCTAGGAAGATCATACCTGTGTCGCTGTCTCTGCCATAGCACTTTCCTTCCCCTGCCACTTTCACAGAAGAATCAGCATTATCAGCAGCAGAATCGCAAAATCTGTCCACTTAATGTGCTGCTTGTGTTTAGTAGTCACAGCAACACATTTGTGATAATAGGGGAGGGGAGAGGGTGAAAAATGGGGAATGTAAGATACAAATTGGACAAATAAGAGTTAATTTCCCACTTAAAAGTATAAATGTGGTACTCTCTATTTAGAAGAACCACCACATTGCATTTTCCACTGTTAGTTCAGATAGGAACCAGATGTTAGCATACCATCTTTGAGCTGCAAGAGGACCTATAGAACTTATAAATTTAAAAATTTAAAATAAGAGTTAATTTCCCACTTAAAAGTATAAATGTGGTACTCTCTATTTAGAAGAACCACCACATTGCATTTTCCACTGTTAGTTCAGATAGGAACCAGATGTTAGCATACCATCTTTGAGCTGCAGAGTCACACAGGCTACGTCTACACTACGAGTTTTGCCACAAGAGCCTAGCAAATGAAGCGCGGATTAGCATTTTCTCATGCTTCATTTGCATACTCTCTTCCAATCTGTTTTTGCGCTAGGGGTTTTTGCTCAAAAACAAGCAGTGTGGACATTTCCTTTTTGCACAAAAACCCCTTTATGCACAAGATCCCAAAAACCCCTAGTGCAAAAAACTGATCAGAAGACAATATGCAAATGAAGCACGAGAAAATGCTAATCATTGCTTCATTTGCATAGGCTTTTGCACAAAACATCCGTGCCAGTGTAGACGCTTTCTTGCACAAGAAAGCTCCAATGGCCATTTTAGCCATCGGGCTTTCTTGCGCAAGAAATTAACTTGGCTGTCTACACTGGCCCTCCTGCGCAAGAATACTTGCGCAAGAGAGCTTATCCTTGAGTGGGAGCGTTGGAGTATTTGCACAAGAACCACTAATTTTGTACAGTACAAAGTCTGTGTTCTTGCACCAATACTCGCGGCCAGTGTAGATGCACCCGTAGTGTAGATATAGCCACAGTGTTTTACTCCTGCACCTACATCAAGCCCACTGATTCCAGTGGAATGCCAGCTGCCCTCAACAAGTTGCAGTACTGGAGTCTACATACTGGAATGATTCTGCTGAAATGCAGCCATTATTTACAAAAATGTTCATTAAACCCAGGTATTCTTATTTGTCTCTCAGACTTGGAAGGCTATTTTTACAGTAATTCTCAGTTAATTCTCAATTAAAAAATTAATTAGTGCTAATATCTTTAATAACTTTTTTGATACAGGGTAGCTATTGAATTTTTTTTCAAAAAGGTGATTTATTGCTCAGAGATTACATCATTACAAACATACACTGTATATGCCCTTGGTATTGGCTTATCTGGCCTCTTGAATTTACTTTACCATGTCACCATCGTAAATCACAGTAACAGAGCTCCTTGAAAAGACCTAAGTCTTCCTTTTGCCTAGGTGTAGCATTGTGCAGATGACAGTATTTAAAAGCCGAGCCTGTTCTGTTCCTTTCACCCTTGATTCTGATGCATATAGAGTATTCCTGCAAACATTTGTGATCCAGATTTAATTTCAAGTCCCTTTTCCTTATCCCCTTTGTACCAGAATTTAATGTTAGCTCTGTTTCCTCCACGGAATTGTAAGTTATAATTTTTAATGAATCACAAATGCATGCTATTTTTATAAAAGTAGCTGCAGGTTTTTCAAAACCAAACAGCATCAGGGTACAAGGTTATGTCAGTCCTGCACTCAGATGATTGGTTTACAGCTCATTTTCTCCCCTATTTGAGGCTTTACATGAAGTAGCTCCACTGCGAGTTGATTCATCAGAAATTGAGGATACATCATCTACTGACTGTATACCGGATAATGTTCTAGATTTTGAGTGTCTTGACTGCGTATTGCTCTGTATTGCTGATAGTGTTTTTTCATCCCACATACTACTACTATTTGCAGTTTTAGAAAAAGAAGAATCAGATACTCCTTCCAAAGGCTGAAAATAAGATAGATATTTCAGTTTCTGTTGTTCAGCATAAGTGTTGGAGTTATTACCAGAACCCCTAAAACACAGAAAGAAAAGCATTTTACTCATTAAATATCATGTTGAGAACAAACACACTAGACACTCTTGAAGCTGCATAGAAATTACCAAGCTTCCACTTTTCAAGGTTTTAACAACTAAGCAGGAAAAGTTCATGTATTTGATAAGAACCTTTGTGGTACATAGAATTCCTCATTCAACATTGTTTTGTGCATTTTTTGGTGATTTTTTTGCTTTTCACTTGGGAAAATGTTACCAAAGGGGTTGAATGTGTGTGCATCTTTTTACAAGCATGAGAGAAAATAAAAGTTTAGTTTGTTTATATTTGGTTGCTAAACATTTTGCACTGCTCTACATAATATCATAGTATCACTTAAATGTTAACAGTAGCAACCTGACATCTCACAACCTAGGTGTATTTCAACATTTAATTATATTTTCTCAAAGCATATGCTATCAATCAGCATCTAACTATTTTCATTATAAAAACATTATTCTTCACTAATAAACTGCTTTACCACTTCTGTGCGCTAGAGAAGAGCAGCAGTTTTCTTTGATGTGTTAATATTCTACTGGAATATGAATATTTTTAAAGAAATATATCAGGTTTGTGGAGGACATTCTGCGGTCTATTCTTATACACGATGCATTAGACAGCACTGTTGTGCATAACCAGAAACAATAGACCTGCCTTGCACTTCCAAGAGTAAAAACCTGAGCTCTTGAGGCAAAAGAGCTATTTTCTTAGGGGAAGTAGAAATAACTGAGATCTTTTAAGTTGGATGTTTCCAGCATTACAGCAGAGAAGAACTAAGCTATTTTACACTGGAGTTGCAATGGGGAGGTCTGTACAGAGCTGGTATTCTCATCATAGCCTCCTCCTGGGATTCAGACTACATGTGATAGGAAGACTTACTTTTTTTGTTTGCTGAACTGGTTGAGAGTTACACCACAGCATATCATAAATATTATTAAAATGATAAGAGTTGTAGATGATACAGCAAGCATTAGTGTTTCCCTTAAGTCTTTTTTTCGTCCTACATTTGCTGCCTTCTGTTGAATAATATCATCCTTATCTGACACTAGAAAAATAAAATAAAATAAATCAGACCAAAGACATTCAAATAACTAATATCATATATGTAGAAATAATTATTTTTTTAAAATGATTGTGGCAGTAGGTTCTGCATCGACAAATTAGCAGACTGATAAAAAAGCTAGCTATGTTACTGTATAATTCCCAGGCTTGAGGCCTGTTTATTTAACCTTTGCATACAGAACCACAACATGGCCCAAAGTAAAGCTCTTCAGAACACTGCCACACCCAAATCTGTACCTATGACAAGGGAAGTTTTAGTAGAAGTTTAACAGCCCCCAGGGAGTGCAGAGATCTATTAACATTTTTAGTTTGATCAAAACAATCTTCCCAGAATATAGAAGATGATCTAGTAATCCTCAGTGTTCTTGAGCACTACCATCTACAGGATCCCAGAAAGTTACCTGGGAAATCAATAAGATTATTTTAAGTACTGTACTGTGTTCTTACTTGGTACTGGTTTAAAAAACATGTTTCTTGGGTGATAGTCTGTCACATTGGATTCAGGAATTTGGTTATCCTGTTCTGTTGGAAAACAAAAAAAAAAATCTGAGATACAGTGAAAACATATTATGTAATGTGCCCTATTCCCCACACATGAAATTAATTCATTTGCTTAATAAGGGACACAAAAAATAATGTAAGCTGAAGAAGCAAGGTGCCTGAGTTAATATCTTTTATTGGACCAACCTCTGCTGGTGAGAGGGCGTGCTTAACCAAAGCTCTTCTGACCCACCTTGTGTAATACCCTGGACCAACATGGCTAAAACAAGGCTGCATACCATAAAGTAATCTCCAAGCAGTTGTCCATATTATACGTTATTTCACTGTAACTATTACAACATGACTTGATTTGGTTATATCTTTTTGTGGATTTACACATATGTAATAATTTAGGGTCAGATTCTCAGCTGTTGTAAATCACATACAGCCTCTCTCCGAGTTACGGACCAAACACTTGGCCGTAACTCGATCTGTTCGTAACTCAGGCCCTATTGAGTTACATAGTGACCGTGCTGTTCGTAAGCACGGGTCATGTTCGTAACTTGGGGATCGCCATTATGACCGCTCCATGGGCGCTTTAGTTGTAAAGGCGAATGGTCGTAACTCGACCGTTCACAACTCGGGGACCAGTTGTAATTTTTATTTAAACCAATGGAGCTATGCTGATTTACAGTACCAGGAGATTTGAGCCAATGACTTCAATAAAGCCAAGATTTCAGTGTGATCTTTAGTTTTTGTGCAGTCAGCTTTTTGCTTGCACTGATTTTTTTTAAAGACTTACATTTGGATTCTCTTTATTTTCTTGATTGCAATATGTTCTAATAAGCAGTAGCAATCGGATTAGCACACACACAATTTCTAAAAACTGATTAATTTCCTGTCATAATTGTTTTCAAAGGGACAATAAAACTATTTCCATAGATCAGCCAGAAATTTCCTGTCTAGACTTTTGTCTGCAAATAGGTCTTTAAAAATTGGGTCTTTGTAAAAGTGTACAGGTTTTGTTCTTGATCTGTAAAAGGATGATATGAATCAGTCAGAAATACTAAAGTCACTGCACAGTAAAATTAAGAGAAAGTAACTTATTTTCATCTGTTTAAGTCTAATATACAAATTCATAATAAATGAGAATATTTGCCCAGTGTTGCTTGGGTCCTTAACTCAATTTTTATTTTTTGGAAAATAAAATGAAAATGTCCATCCTTCATTTAAATCATTGCATTGAGGTGGGTGTGCATATTAGGGGTTCAGTATGCTGGCTGCCCTGGGGAGAGAAGACTACCCAAGTTCTCTCTGACTGCAGAAGGTTGGGGCCAAGTGAGAAGCAACTCTGCATGGCGGCCGCATCTCTAGTGGGTACTGCTTGGGGAGGGTTGCATGTCCCCTAGCTGGGGCAGGTCCAAGTTTGCTTGCCCCCTGTGCTCCCCAGCCAGAGTGAGGAATGCAGCAAACAGGGTATTTTCCCCTGGCTTCCTGATGAAGGGGAACAGCCAGTAATGTTCCTGTACAAATCTGGGAGAAAGGAGCTTCAGCCCCCGCCCTCCCATCTCCTCCGCCCCGTCCTGCCTAAAGGGTGCCTGTGGGGAGGAAGGTTTAAGGCAGGGACAGTCCCAGATGGGCGGGGAGGGGAAGGAAGGGTTTTATGAGAAGCAGTCCCATTCCAGACACATCCCATTTTCCTGGCACAACCAAGTCTTTACATTGCTTTAAGTTATAAGAAGAGGAAGTTGTATACTTAATTTGGTGGTCTTAGCACTTCTCATTTAGGAGGAGCTATTGAGCAAACAAACACTCTCAAATGTATAGTAGATAAATATTTTGTAGAGCCATTTTTTCCTTATAATTAAATTTTCTATTTAAAATATTTTTGCTAAGATATCCTTGACATGGAAACAAAGAAAGGTAAACTTATTTTTTGAAAATGTTCAGGAGAAACAAGCAATTTAGACACATGGTAATTTGCTTTGCCAAAGGCATAAATTAATATGTTATTATTAGGCACTTTGCAAGTAAGCCCAAAGAGAAAAAGACTATATGACTAAAGTTCAAATTCTGCCTTTGCTTAAACAAGTGGCCCTTATTGCTTCAGTGAATGCCCATGTAGACCTTTGAGATAAGGGCAATATATTCTTCCTAGGTCAACCCAGATGCAAAATGCAACCTTTGGTTGTTCACAGAAGACAAAAATAATGTCAGAGATACAGACTAGAAAATTCTTCAAGAATTTGGTTCTGATGCATGTTCTACAGTTCAAAGCGCAGGACTAAATGCTTGTACCTTTTTGTACCACAGCTTCCCTATCTTTAAAGTAGAGAAAATAATACTTTCATACTTGCTAGCAGTGTTGTGAGTAAGGATGTAATTGGTTAACCGGTAAGCCTCACCTTAACGGGTTAGGCTTAGGAGTTCCGGTTAATTGGTAGAGGTTGGAGCAGCTCCCTGTCCACTGAAGGCAGGTGGCTGCCCCGGTCCTGCAGGGTCCACTGCAGGCAGGGACTGCTCCAACTGCTCCAGCAATTCCTGTCCATGGCTGGCCTGTCCCAAGTGACACAGCACTGGCAGAGGCTGCTCTGGCTGGTTGGCCGAAGTAGCCCCTGTCCGTGGGGGGCAGGCCCTTGTCTGTGGCAGGGGAGCCACTCCAGCCCAGCCACAGCGGGGGCAAGGGAGAAGCACTCCATCTCAGCTGGGCTAGAGCAACCCCTCTGCCCAGCCCCCCTTTAATCAGTTAACAGGTTAAACATAATCATCAAATCATAGAGCTGGAAGAGACCTCAGGAGGTCATCAAGTCTAGCCCCCTGCACAAGGCAGGACCAATCCCAACAAAATCAACCCAGCCAGGGCTTTGTTAAGCTGAGACTTAAAAACCTCTAGGGATGGAGATTCCACCACCTCCCTAGGTAACCCATTCCAGTACTTCACCACCCTCCTAGTGAAATAGTTTTTCCTAATATCCAACCTAGACCTCCCCCACTGTAACTTGAGACCGTTGCTCCTTGTTCTGCTATCCGTCACTACTGTGAACAGCCTTTCTCCATCCTCTCTGGAACCTCCCTTCAAGAAGTTGAAGGCTTTAATTCAGTTTTCTGTGCTAATTTCTTTTTTGTCAATTGCATTCAGAATATTTTGAGAAGTCAGTATTACTATGTAATTTATTATTACAATAATATTAAATTTTAATTTTGCCTTTTTAATTGTGAAAGATGTTCTGATGATTTCATCATACCTCCACTAAGTGATTCCTCCATTGGGCCTTGAGTGATAATGTTGAGATAATGAGGTCCAAATTTGGATTCTAGAAAAAAAGAGTTGCAAAGACTATTCACTGTTCAGAATAGTCATTCCACTAACAGCAAAAAAAAAAAAAAACCACCCACGCAAAATAATAACAACAAAAAACAAAGCACTCCAAAAGTTCTTGAAAGTATAGGGCAATGTGTCACCATATTTAATGAAAGAAAAAGCAAAGAATTAAGGATGTTAAAATGCAATTATTTGACTAATTGTATAGTCAATTCACTGTCTATTGACTATAAGATAGTTGATAAGCGCTTCTGCAGAGCTGCAGCAGGGATAGCTCCAGAGGAGTCAACTCGAGCCAAGACTGAGCAGTCCTGGCTTGTGCCGGCTCCAAAGCCACCTGCGCTGCAGCTCTGCACTTAAAATGTATTAAGAGCCACTGGGCTCTTACTAAATTTAAAATGCAGAGGCGCCGCTATCAGTGTGAGCCAGCAATGCTTTGTCCCAGCTCGCATTGAGTCCAGCACTACCTGTTTGCAGTGGATAGCCCTGTCCATAGCCAGCCCTGTCCACTGCCCTGACCCCTGTGGACAGGGGCTGCTTTGCAGCAGCATCCTCTATCCCCCCCCCCCCCATTAGAGGCAGCAGTGGGGACAGGTGGCACCCCTGAGATGATACTGGGGGAACTGACTTTCCAGCTGTCTCCCCCCAGTACTGGCTCCTGTCCCATGCTTGCTACAGCAAGGGGGAGGGGTGCCACAGAGAGCTTGGAGTGAGTGCGGACTGCTTTGAGTTCCTGCTCACCCCGTGCTCCCTGAGGCACTTCTGCTTTTGAAATGTACAAGAGCCCCACAGGGTTCTTGAACATTTCAAAAGCAAACGCCTGCAGTGGGAACTGGTACAAGTGGGGACTGAAGCAGTCCCCGCTCGTGCCATTTCCTGCTGTGCCTCTGCCTTCTTTGCCCCCCACAGAGACAGTGCTGGGGGGAACCGGCTTTACCAGTTCCCCGCAGCTCTGCTGCCCTCAGAGAGAGGCAGCAAGACAGGGGGAAGCGACTAATCAAGTCGACTATCTGATAAGCATCCCTATGAAGAAACATTCAGTTATATATTTGCACTGTCAGACAAAACTGTTTAGTGTATTACATTCTGTTGTCTGCAAATAAAAATCTTTGTGCTGGTAAAATGATAGACATAGTCCTTCAAATAGTAAAAAGAGAATTTACTGTCTTTGTATTAGACCTGGCTTTGTTTTCTATCTCCTTACCCATCATTTTGTCAGCAGTTCTTTTGTTTTTAACTAACTTAATCTGCTGACTTTAATGATCTAATTCAGGTCCAATTTTTATTTGTTTCTGTCCAATTCAGTGCAAAATATTTGTATGTAATTCTTGTTAATCTCTGTAATAGATATCTCTTTGCAGAACTGACAACACATGAGCTGGATGCTACTTGCCTTTGGGTAAGAGGGGGGTGCCAATCTTAGGCTGTGTCTAGACTACATCCCTCTTTTGACTTAGGGTGTGTCTAGACTACCTAGTTTTGTTGACAAAACTATACCAGCGTCTATACTACCGCTGAGTTCTGTCGACATAACGTCGACAGAACTCAGCAGTTTTGTCGACGCTGGTATACCTCATTTTACGAGGCATAACACCTTCTGTCGACAGAACTCTGTCGACAGAAGGTGTTATTGCCTGTAATGTTGCGTCCAGACTACAGAGTTCTGTCGACAAAGCAGCTTGCTTTGTCGACAGAACTCAATGTGTCTGGACGCTCTTTGTCGACGGAAGTTTTGTCGACAGTATCTGTCGACAAAACTTCCATCGACAAAACGCGGTAGTCTAGACGTACCCAAAGGGATGTAAATTAGACACTTTGAAATTGCAAATGAAGTAGGGATTTAAATATTCTCAGGAGTACAGTACAAGCCTGCTGTTTTCAAAAGAACCGCATCTAGACTTTTTAGACGCATCTAGTTTTACTTTCAAAAGAGCACCATAACATGATTATGCAAATGAAGGATGGGATATTTAAATCCCCGCTTCATTTGAAATTTCAAAGTGTCTAATTTACATCCCTCTGTCGAAAGAGGGATGTAGTCTAGACAAAGCCTTAGTCTGAGTTTCACAGCAGTGAACCTGCTCCTAGTGATAGGTGCTAAAGCCAAAGTAGCCTTGTAGCAGAGCGCACTCAGTTGGAATGTGGGAGGCCCAGAGCTGATCCTACCTCTTCTTGATTGTAATAGGGAGTTGGATGCAAGAGAGTCCTCTAACTACCAGCATGTTTGAGGTGGAGGAGGAGGCTCTCCCAATCTTTCTGGTTGAAGCTCTTATACTTTGTATACCTAAATATTTTTTGGGCCATAGAGAGAAACTGGCTTGTTAGGGAACTTTCCCTGGGCTGCCAGGGAGTCAAGTCCAAATCATGGCTCCAATGAATGCAAAAAGAAAATCATGTCAGAGGAGTATTTTAAAGTTCTTTTCATTTTTAGCATATTACAGCAAATGATTATAAGAGCAATACTAACTATTAAAAACTTCCAGAGTATTCTTACCTTCTGAAGCCTCTATTTCAGAATCTAGTTGTTCTTCTTCAGCTTTTTTGATTGAGAGCAATTTCACTAGAAGATTAAATATACAAATAGTGTGAGTACAATAAGATTTTTAAAGGTAAGAAGTTACTATAGGAATGGACACGTGAAAAAATTCTGGTATCTAAATACAGGTTTTTGCCAACCTATTCTTACTGATTCTGTATTCCCATTTGTCGTTTTGGCTGCCACATAGTGGAAGATAATGTGACTCATATCCCTGGTGTGAATTGTGCATGTGTGTAGGTTGACAAACATGGGTACGTCTACACTAGCTCGTTAGTTCGAGCTAGGTAGGTTAATGAGGGCAAGCGGAGTTGCAATGAAGCCCGGGATTTAAATATCCCGGGCTTCATTTGCATGTTCCCGGGCGCTGCCATTTTTAAATACCCCTTAGTCTGAACTCCATACCCACGGCTACACGCGGCACGAAGTAGGTAGTTCAAATTAAAGATCCTAATTCGAACTACCATTACTCCTTGTGGAATATATACTAACAGAATATATACATCCACCGTATCTTGAGTAACAGAGACTAACAGGATATATACATCCATGGTGTCGTGAGTAACAGACTAACAGGATATATACATCCATGGTGTCGTGAGTAACAGACTAACAGGATATATACATCCATGGTGTCGTGAGTAACAGACTAACAGGATATATACATCCATGGTGTCGTGAGTAACAGACTAACAGGATATATACATCCATGGTGTCGTGAGTACTTTTACTTAAGGTAATCTTTAACATTTCTCCAGTATCAGGTGGTAGGGATCCCAATAGGTTTTGGGGGTCAGCATTCGCACATCATTCTTTGTGTGAAATAGCACAAGCTGTAGAAGCTATGTCAATTATGGCCAGCCCACATTCTCATTTGTACAAGTGGTTCAGGATTGGATTGTAAAAACATACTAAAGAAACAATTTTGATTAAAACTGGAAAGATTTCGTAACCATCTGCACATGCTATCTTTTGCGTCAGGAAGCAATGATTGTACAAATAAATAAAATAATTAAAGATAATGTAACATCCATTAAAAAAGAGTCATTTGCTAGCAGCAATGTTTGTTTTGAAAAGTAAAGAAAGTTTGGAATAAAATTTAGTTTGAAACTAGCATTATTCCAATATTTTTATCCCCAAAATGAAACATTTAAGTAGCAGCATGTTCTGGCTTCACAAAGATATTGTACAATCCTATAATGAATTATAATCCTATAATAGACCATTGTAGGTACGGGTTCCAAATGATCGTTCCTTTCAAGCATCAGTCACCAACAATGTGGATCTCTCTAAATTAGCAGGTAAGAGGTGTAGGAGAAATCTTCTGAGTTTCTCAGTTATAAATGGAAAATCTGTGAGATCCCGTTGCTTTTCTCTTCTCCTCACAAGTCACATTCTATCACAAATAATTTCTGTAGACTTATGCTATTGACACAAAATACTGTACTAAAAAGTAGAATGGCAATAGAACTCCTTCCCTTCCATATACACAGTCCAAGAGTGGGTTAACAGTTTGAAAACAATTGGTAGTCCCATGGCACCATTTAGAGACTAACAAATGTATATAGTATCATGAGCTTTTGTGGGCAAAATCTACTTCATCAGATGAACTTTTCATCAGCTCATCTGGAAAAAGTGGATTTTGTCCATGAAAGCGCATGATATTATATATGTTTGTTAGTCTCTAAACAGTGCCACAGGACCACCCGTTGTTTTTAAAGTTACAGACTAACACAGCTACCTTTTTAAGTGAGACTTTTTAATAATTTGAGGCTACATTAGAATTTCTAGTTTTAACATCCATCCATCAGATATTTACATCACAATCATGCCAGTTGTAGCTGGGTGTTAACTGTTTTTTCATTACCAGATGGTTTCATCTTTCCTCATGCCCCACTACTCCTAAGATGCTTCACAATTATTTAAGTTCCTTCATACAGGTTTTTAAATGGTGACTTCTGCTACTTACAGTATTCCCGTAAATTCTCCATACTGTTCTTCAGCATTAACACATCTTTGGACACAGGTGAACTTGTAGAAATGCCTAAATAAATTTTAAAAATCAATTACATTCTTATCTTGACATATAAGGCCACTTTTTTCCAAGGAGAGGATAATGCATATAACTGTGAAAATGTATAGATAACTACCCAGTTGTGCATGCAACTACCTCATTTGTGGAGGCAAGTGTGAATTTGTAGAGGCCTAATGAATTTGTCATTTTTGTGAGAGCAGCCATGGCACTCTCCTTTGGAAATGTATGTTTACTGTTGTTTAGCAGCCTGCAGTGCAGTTAAGATATACGTTTTAAATATAAAGTTTTATTTGTAATCTGTTTTATTCTATTCTACAGTACAGATACAAATTTAATAGAGATTTTAATTAGTTTTGCTTAAAGAAATATCAAGTGCTTCATGATTTAGTCCAAAATATTACAGAAAGAACTAGTTAAATAGAAATCTATACATATCTAGGGCCCATTTTATAAATCTACACAGTTCATTGTCCATCACATTACAAATCCGTATATTTAAAATGTTTTTAGTGTTAGAGCAATGCTACCTTATCTAAGTCATGATTGTATTAATTATTTAGTGTTTAAATTTTACTAACAGTAGGACAGGGATCCCAGGGCGGCTGGAGACCTGCCATAGAAAGCTTACAGCTGTTGCTAGAATAACTAATAATATATTGTATGTATATTTCTGTGATCTAATACTGCAAAGGGACCCGCTGTGAGGATTCCTATGCCTATATAGCATCCTGTTAAGTAGGACTCTATAGAGTGAGTTCTTTTGCATGGTAGAGGATTATAAAGAACAAAGAATTCTTGATGAATTGTGAACATACATTTTCACTGGAACAAGTAATATGGTATAAAAGAAAAATAATTTCACTAACATTTGTAAAGTTGTAATTTGTAGATGATTGTATTGACATTTCTGGTATATTTCTGCTGTTAGATCTATATTTTGGAGTTTTAAAACTTCACCTGTTTCTAAAAAGATCTCATGGTCCACAGGATTTTGTACCACGTAGTTATTATCATCTTCCTCATCATCGTCCTGCTCCAAGTCATTGACAGGTAAAGGTAAGTTATGGTAGTCTAGAAAAGTGGGGCAAATTAGTTATCAAAACTGATAATTTTTTTACTATCTTTACTGATGATCGGAGACATGCTAATAATTTTATTTGCTGCAACAGATAGATCTAAAAATAATACAATTCCATAGGTTTTAAAAATGCTGGCAGTCTTTCATAACATGGCATTTATTTCTAAATCCTGCATATTTTTCTGCACTCGCAGGGTAACATATTGATACTTAATTTCATCCTTTGGTGAAACTCAGATGCAGCTTCCTACTTCATCAGCAGCTCCTGAAAATGCTAATCAGAACATTTTCAATTCAGTCCGGGAATGTCTGTCATGGTGCTTGAGACAAGGAATGCAGTACAGAAGTACAAATAGACCAAAATAAGCCATGTTTCCAAGAAGCAGGGAGAGGATGGGATCATAGGGGAAAAAATCTCTCAACCCATCCTCTCACTTAGCAGAAACCTAGTCTAGTCCCAGCATTTCTATATGGTATCAATATGCTGAAGAGCTTGTAAATCCTATTACTTGTGGCCTCCTCTTTGCCCTTCCCCCCCCCCCCCACATAGCTGAATCATTTAATGATACAAAACTGTCATTGTGACTCCTCCATAGTAATCCATGGCTGTGCATCTTTGGGGAGTGTTGGCAGCTAGTGCAGTAAAGAATAGCCTGAAGAACGCTATTGACCAAATTAGAGAATTAACCTGTGTCACATTTGCATTCTGCTACCCTAAGTATGTGGAAATTTGCCTTGAACACAAGAAGGACTGGAATCAATACCTAGCACATATACAGAGACTATTTGAAGGATATTTCAGTTGAAAAATTTCAGGCTGACAACACTATTGAGGACATAGTCATAATGCCAGTGGAAACCCATCTTGAACAACAGAAGCCTGGAACTACACATGGATGAAATCAAGAAATTATACAGATAAGCTATGTAGCCTTTCCAGGACTTACTTAGTATAACTGATTCCAGATGTTAAGCCCAGAACAAAAAGTAACATCTGAGAATAACTGTTGGAAAGCAATTCTGAGTTTTGTTCTTCTCTTTTAGGTTCAAACTATAGCAACTAAGTTTTTACCCCCAAATCTATGGTTTTGAATGAGATTGTTACATCAAAATGGTTGGAAATTATGGAAGTAAATTCATGGAAGTCAAGACAGTTGAATTATCACTTATGTCAGTTTTTAAAAGACCTGCAGTCCTGTCCAATCAGCAAAGAGTCAGTTGTTCGGGTTTAGCACATTTTGATTGGTTTGGTGAAAACTCCAAAATGTTAATTGCTGAAGAAGCAAACAACTTGCTAAAAATATATCGGTTTCTCAGGGAAGCCATGAAAGGCCTTCCATAGGCCTAATTACTTAGTCAAGTAGGGATTCAATTATTGTGTTATATTTTGCTTACAGAACTGCATGATTTCATATCAGGCAATGTATTTTGTGAAGTGAATGAAATTTATTTTCCTTTAATAAATCTTATGTCTGATTTTTTGATAGTTTCACAGGTTTTGTTTTATTTTTCTGGGAAAAATTATTTTTTTCAAATTGGGGGAAATCACACCAATCTTATTATCCAACAGTATAAGAAACATAGCATGAAATTATAGTTAATGAAAACAAAAGAAAACATTACTTCATGCAATGCAGATTCAGCCAATGAAATTGACTATTCACGGAGATCATCAAGTCAAATAATGTGTCTGAATTTTTCTAAAAGTTGGGTAACTATGTTCAAAAATAATTCGTATAGTTATTCATAGTAGGATAAGTGTAATCCAACCTCATTCTTCAGTGTATGAGATAAATGCTGCAAGGGTCAGAAAGGAATTTTTCCCTTGTGCATAGGATCACATGGCAGACACAGGCATGCACATGGAGTGTGCCAGGTGTGCCCAGGCACATCCTAATGTCTGGGGCTAGCCAGCAGGTGCTGGAGGAAGAGGGGGATTTGTGACGGAGTGCCACAGCCCCTCACTTTAAATTCCCTGCAGCCATCTACTGGGCACTGTGGGGCAGAGAGAGCGCATGCACAGCGTCCTCAAACACTGTGCAACAGGTGAGAGGGGAAATGCCAGGAACTTTAAAATCCAGCGGCCCAGCTCCAAAAGCAGCTGGGGCCCGACTATAGATGGCAGCCTGAGCCATTTTTGCGGCCAGGGCCCCACCCTACAGCACCACGCGGCGCCCCAGGGGCGCCCCCGCCTGGCACCTGGCCCAGCAGCACCGTGTGGTACCCTGGGGGTACCCCTGCGCATCCCGGCAGCACCCGTCCCTGCAGCACCATGAAGCACCCCGTCCCTGCAGCACCGTGCAGCACCCCGTCCCTGCAGCACCACACAGCCCCCTGGGAGTGCACCTCCCCCACCCTGCAGCTTGGGCTGGCTATGACTCCAGCCTGCAAGCTGTCAGGCAGAAGCTGAAGGTAAGGAAGGGGGAGGAATAAGATGAAGGGGGAGGAGAGGAAGGGGCTT